CCCCAGGGCTGCACCGGGCCTGGCGTGGCGGGGGCGCTGGGGAGCGGGACGGGGCTGGGCCGGGCCAGGCCAGCCTGTGGCCGGAGCCAGCACTGGGGCGCGTTCCCTGTGCTGGCACAGCACATGGGTGGCCCCCAGGGCGAGGCAGGTCTTAGGGCCCCCCCCCGCCGGGGCTGGTAGTTTGATTAATTTCCTCATATAATAATATATGGAGATATACCTATCTCATAGAGCTGGAAGGGAACGGTCATTGAGTCCAGCCCTCTCCCTTCACTAGCAGGACCAAATACTGATTTTGCCCCAGATCCCTAAGTGGCCCCCTCAAGGACTGAACTCACAACCCTGGGTTTAGCAGGCCAATGCTCAAACCACTGAGCTATCCCTCCCCCACAGGCCTAGGCTGGGCAGGAGGCTGTGCCCTGGTGGGATGGGCCCTGATGAGGGTGCTGGGCATGGCACTCAGCTTGTTCCCCGCTCCTCCTGCCCGGAGCCGCCCGGCCCTGCAGGGCTCTGCACCATCCTGCCAACAGCTGCCGCTGACTCACCCCTCTGCGCCTGGGCGCCATGTCTCTGAAATATTCTATGCGAAGTGGAACAGGTGCAGACTAGAGAGGGGAAACACGAGTGATGAGGGAGCCAGAACTGCTTCCATACGAGGAGAGATTAAAGAGACTGGGACGTGGGAAAGAGACAACTAGGGAGGGATATGATGGAGGTCTATGAAATTACAAATGCTGTGGCAAAAGGGAAGAGGGAAGTGTTATTTCCTCCTTCACATAACACAAGAAGTAGGGGTCACCCAATTAAATTAACAGGCAGCAGGTTTAAACCACTCTTGTCCACCAACCCCTAGAGGGGTTCCCTGTAGCCAGACAGAGAGAAAGAGAAATTCTATCCATATATTAAGTTGTGTGGTTAACAATAGCTTGAGGGCTTTGTTTCAACTTCTCCCTTCCAATTCCTGGAGGAATGGAGCTTCCACATATTATTCCCCAGACATTGTGTCTCATGGTTCAAGATGTGGATTGCTATTCTGAGCAAACAGAGGTACAACCTGTAATCTTGTTTTGTATCCTTGATGGGAATAGAGCAACAGCTTTCCTGCTTTAAAGGCCAACAGCAACTATAATTATTAACAATATATTCAAGGTATATTGGCTAGCTATACATCTCACCGTGGAAACCAGGCTGCATGAGTTCTGAATCTTCCTGGGGCAACAATGACCCACTGTAATGGTTTAACAAATAGAGAGGAAAAATAAGAGAAGGTTTGGTGGAAGGGGGATGTTGTGCTAAATATATTTGTGGCATTACTCAGATGCTTTACTTCTCAACGCTGACATTCAGCAAATGGAGAGAATAGAGTTGGTTGCACTCATGACGCAAGTGTTGTTGCAAATTACACTACACCATGTATTAAAATAGGATTACAATCAGGGAACTGGAATGATTGGGAAGATGCCAATGACCTCTGAGCAACACCTGAGGCACTATTGTGAGCACATTGTCCTGGGAATAGGATTAATGCTATGATTGGTTAATTTTTTGCTTGACAAATTAACCAATCTCTCAACCCTAGATTGTGCATGTTTTTGCATATCCCATTACATATCTAACTCCAGGGGCAGGTTGTAGTTTGCAAACCATTTCTCAAGAAGAGCTTGAATGTTTTTTATCTATAAATGCCAGAAAGGTCATATGGTTAATTATTCAATGATGGATGTTCTGAATGATCAAATCCGGCCTAAACGAGGTCTAATGTTTGAAGTCAGAGTCTAGAACATCAAACAGAAAATAAACTTTGTCCCATTCCCTGTCAAGTCCTAAATCTCTTCTTCGCAGGTTTGCCAGGCTTGGATTAGTCTCAGGAATTGATTGGTGATGATTAATTTAGTCCTTCTGGGCATGTTCAGAGTCATATCTAAGGAAAGATCTCAGCTTGTAAAATGCGCTATTTTCACTACTCTTATCATTCCCTATCTACAACAGGACAGGTGGTGTCTTATAAGCACAGGGATCATCATATATAGGAACATTGGACTAACCATACTGGATCAAAGCATAATACCAGATGCTTTAAATTAAAGTGCAAAAACCTCCATAATAGAGTTATGGAATAATCTCTCCATCAGAGAAGTTTCTTCCTAATGTGACACGGTTAGTGGCTGATTTATCCTCTGGAGCATGAGGATTTATACCCCTTATAAATTTTTATTCTGATCACCGTCAACATGGACAATGTCATCCATATAAATGTGTCCTTTTTTTTGAGTCTCACTAAGTTCTAGGTCTTCATGATATCCTGCGGCAACATGTTTGACAGGCTACTGTGCACAAATATACGAAAAACTATTGCCTCTTGTCAGTTTGAAATTTTCTGCCTTTCAATTTTAGGTGCTTGTTTGACAATGTAACAAGTGGGTGAGGGAGACTGGCATCAGAGACCAATCGGAGGTGGGAGTCAACTTCCTGACAGCGAATGAGAGCTGATAGGTAGGATGGGGATAGGCCGGGAAGGGCCCTGAAAGTGAAGACAAGTAGCGTATGTTTGATGCTGTAGGAAAGGCAGAACCAGTGGAGGGGTGCAAAGAGAGGAGTCACATGGTCAAAGCAATGATCTTTGCAGCAGCATTTTAAATGGATATTAGTGGGAGCAAGGTTTAATTTGTCAAGGCCAGAGAAAAGGATGTTGCAATAATCAAGACATGAGCTGATGAGAGCCCGGACAAGAGTTTTATCTGTGTGGATGGACAGGAAAGGCCGTATTGTAGAGAGATTATCTAGAACAAATCTGAGACTCTGGGTGTGAGGGTCAAGAGAGAGGGCCAAGTGAAAGATGACACCCAGGTTACGGGCCTGAGTGACTGAGAGGATGGTGGTGTTGTCCACAGTGATCAAGGAGGGAGGGCGTGGGGAGGGCTTGGGGGAAAGTTTAAAGGCTCTGTTTCAAGGACGCCATTTCAGATTTTGGTAGCGGGAGGCAACTTTAACCATGATTCCCGGGGCAAATTTCTATTGCATCAATAGTCCACAGTCACTTAAAAATTAGCCCCAAAATAGCCCAATCTATTTATTTAATCATTTTTTTATTAACACTGGGGTCTATACCTTTAAAAAGAATCACTATCTAGAGTTTAATTAAATGATGGATGTTAGCAGCATAGATCTATAACAAAGAAATATTGGCAGCCAAATCTTACAACATGTTCAGATTAGCTTAGGTTTATGTTCACTGAAGAGTTTCTACAAATAGTTATGATAAATACAAAGGATTAAGTTGGAAGGAGGTTTCTGGTGTGCTGCTGTAAGGATTTGATAGAGTAAACATCATCTCCATGAAACTCGCTGATCTGTCAGACTCTGCCACCCTCAGAAATGTTACAGAGTAGGTACAACAGGAGATAAGAATATTTACCAGCTGGAAGAGGAGATACAGCAGAAAGATGCAAAATGGCTGCTTGAGGGGAGCAGTCCAGGGGCAGCAGCTCCTCAAAAGGTATCTGGGAAAAAGGTCCCAGAAAAGTGCACCCCCACTCTGGGGAGATTTGGTGAAATCCCGGCATTCACAGAGGGATCGATGTTGCTGTGTCACAGCCTATGGACCTGACCCAAAGCCCAGTGTAGGCAAAGGAAAGACTCCCGCTGACACGTGGGACTAAATGGCAGAATGAATGGCCACACAGGGGCACTGCCATTCATTTCAAAATTAAAGAGTTGGGAATAAATAGGAAGTTTTAAGTGTAATTTAAACAATCTTTGTGGTGTGACGGCATGTTTGTTTCTTGACAGCAGGGAAAGATCCCAGGTGGTCATTCTTCAGCAGGGCTCTTGCTGTCTGGGGGTAATTATCCCCTGAATGTGCCTGGGGCAGCAGCCCCTGCTCCCCGCGCCCCCAAGCATCTGTGTCTACTGGGGTCCCAAGGGTCTGCTCCTACCCTTGTAACATGTCACCATGGGAAGGGGAGGGGCAGATCATGATGAAATCTGCAGCAAGCATCTTCTGACCTAAGCCCAGAGTTTCTTTCCCCCTGAGCCTGTTTCAGGAAAATTAATTTGAAAAAAGTGCTGCAGAAGCTCCCAGCCCTGCTATTGGCTCTGCCCGATACACCTCTGTATTCCTATTGGCTGAGCAAAGAATAGCCAGCGGGGCGGGGGGGAGGAGTGAGTAAGCCACATTACTCCTGGCTGGGGGGAGTAAGCAGTGTGGGGGTACAAAACTCAGGGGGGCTGCAGCCCCCCTCTGCCCTACCTAAATGGCGCCCGTGCTCTGTTTTAGCCATGCTGAGCTAGGGATGGCAGCTAGACATCCAGGAGGAGATGTCAGAGACAGGCCCCACTCTGATTCCTCTCTCCAAAGCACCTTGGGTAGGTATCAAATAAAAAACGTTTCCTGAAAATGGCTTCTTGTTTGGTGTGGATTTTTTCAACAGCTGAACAAATGTACAGAGCTACTAATACATAGTATTTTGTGCACTGGCACCCTCTAGTGTCCTGTCAGTTGCAAAACCATACAGCAGCTCGCCAAACCCACTGGCGCTCTCTGCTGAGTGGTTCGAACATAGTCCACCTTGTCCAGGGTCCCTTTCCTGCCTATGAAATGCACTTTATGGCCCACTGTAGACAGTTTCTGACCCCAGGTTTATGATGAGCCTGATCCAGAGAGGTGCTGAGCACCCAAAAGCCCATCGACGTCCGTGGGACATTCCTTTCGGGGTCAGGATGGGTGAGGACCTTGTGGTTTATAGTTATCACCTTTGTCCTGCTAAGGTGTGCTGAGAATATTCAAAACACCATCTTCCCTTAGCACCACGGGCTTCAGCAGCACCCCCAAAGTGACGCTTCGAAACACATAGAGACAAATCCAGACTTGTAAGCAGCCGAAACTCCAGCGAATTCAATGCAGTTGTATCCACTGTAACATCACTGGCCCCAGTGGCTGAGCTAACTGAAAAATAGGTGTTTCCAGCTTGGAGGAGTCTTATGGGGGCGGAGGGGACTCATTTGTGGTTCCTATGTCACTGCAGTGACCCCGGTCTTCAATCTCCAAATATACATTTCAGAGTTTGAGCCAGTTCCCAGTCACCTCACTCCTGCATGCAGTCCCAGGGACTGCGAGGGAGAGAATGGGATGGGCTCCTGTCCTGGCTCTTGAGGTCTGAAACAAAGCTCCCACTGGCTTGAATGAATGCCGGCCCAGGCCCCAGCTGAGAAGGAAACATGCCTTATTTTTGGTTGAAATCAGCAATGGACCCAGTAACTTTCCTGTTAGTTACTCATTGCCTCAGCTAGTCCCATAAAACAGTGAGCAGTGCAGGAAGAATCCTTAGTTTCTGACCGGTGTTCTGTGTACTCAGAAATTCAGTGAAGGAACAAGGCCTTGAACCCAGTTTATCTGTCTTACTTGACACTGAACTACAATAAAAACATTACAGTTCAGCCCTTATAAACGAGATGAGGAAAGTGCCGTGCATTTCTGAACAGGAGAAGCCTCTTCGCAGACTCTCCCCAAGGTAAGCAGCAGGGTTAGCTACCCCAAGAGAAAGGCTCTCTGCCACAGCAGTAACTTCCCATTGCTAGGAAAAAAATAATTTCTGAGGAAGGGGCTAACGATTTAAAGGCGAGTCGCTTCTATTTTAATGTGGAGTACAACCAACAAGAAACGAATACAACATCCTCCTCAGGGCCCCACCTGCTCATCAGCTGTGAAGGGCCTTTCTGGGAGGGTTTTACTCGGAATGTGTGATAGCAATGTATAATTATCCCATGCTGGCAGTATTCATAGAACCATGACTCTCTATCCAACAGATCCCACCTGAATAGATCAGAGATGGCCCAGAAAAGCCGCCTACCTGCCCCTTATGGAGTACCTGTCCTTGCAGTTTTACTTTTGCCGTGTCTAGTCACAGGTAAGCAGCGAAGAAAAGCTGCAGCATATTTGTCTGAGATTCTTAATATCTACTGATGCTCTGCTTGACACCTGTCACTGGGTGGTGTCCAAGGTGATGTGCTACAGCTCGATCCCGCCCGACATTTCCTAGATTGTAGTAATCGTTCCTAAATAGGCTACGCATAGAAAGAACTGATCTGCTCAATATGGCATCATTAGCAACCAGAGAGAATGAAGAGGCTTCACCATTTTAAAAAGTGTCATTCACACTGAATGAGACTGGCGAACTCCAAAGGTACAAAAATCAGAGGACTACATTCTTTGAACAATACATGAAAAACAAAAAGTCTGAATGCTTTAACTATCTAGGAGTACCAAACAAGAGAATAATGGTTTTCGGTTATTTTTTGTGCCCCGAGAGAGCAATTGCCTTTGCATTTTCAGCTGACTTTTTCAGTTAATTAAGACATAATGGGGACTAGAGTCTTGAGCTTTGGAGAGAAATGACAACTTATTTCCCATAGGGATTATTTTTCCCAGTGAAAATGTCCTAAGGCTCCAAACTTAGAATCCGACTCTGCAGTCCTTGAACAGCAAAACTCTACTGAAGCCAATGCAGACGTAGATGGTGATCTAACTACCAAGTTATACTCACAAATGCAACTCGAGACAATCAAAAAAATTAGCACATAAAAACATGAGCATGAAAAATTGAGTACATAAAAGTGTGTCTGTGAAAACTGAGCACACACAGTATTTCAGGAGGGTGGAGTATTTGTCTTTATTGTGTCCTTTTGCTGGAGAGGCTAATACATTACTGCTACAGGCGAATCTCATCTTACCCTGGGGTTACGTTCCGCTGTCAGCATAAAGTGAAAATCACGTATAGTCAAAATTACATTGAGTGTAATGGCGGGCAGAATCGCCCGCACTACAGGTACACTTATTTAAATTGTTATTTTTCTCTTTTTTTTTGCCGACCACGCAAAACTGAATTTGCGCATGTTAAATGCGTGTAAGATGAGACTTGCCTGTATATATGTGGTGGCTGGTGGGTTTTTTCTTCATGGCCCAGATTCCAGTGTCAGGGCTCTGTGTTTGCTTGTGCGTTTCGAACGCTTACAGCTTAGGACTGGCACCTTTTTATCTGGTTTTGTAAATCTAAATAAATAAAACAAAAGTTGTGCCTGAACAATTGTGGCTGCGGTTTTAGAAGCTGCTTTAGAAAATGAAGTTATTAGATTTAAGTCTGACAACTCCATTCTTAACCTGTTCTCTGGGGCCTGGACATTGTAAGAGCGGCCTGGTAATTACGAATATTGTCCTGGCCTGTGCAAAAGGTACAGATTGTGAAACTCACCATGTCCATTTCCCTTCCCAGGTGTGGAGCTGGCTATAAACAATAGTTCTGATAACCAAATACTATCCACAAAGCCCGGCCGTGACGAGTCCCTGTGGTGCACTGTACGTAACAACAGCAGGGCGGAGGAATTACGCTGGTACCGAGGAGACGGGACTGTGAACTTGAAAGATGGAAATAAAATTAATACCACTAACATCTGCATACTTCCAGTCTCTAAGACCGACAATGGAGTCAGCTTTACCTGCAAGCTGGTGCGGAACGAGTCCATTCAGATCTCGGTGACTCTGGATGTCCAGTGTGAGTTAATGGGAGGCCTGATTATGCAAAATAGCTGTGGGTGTGTGAGATCAGTGGGTTTAGCACACCCATGGGCTGCTCACTAGTTGAAGTCCAGGCCGAACTGTTCTATATTCTTGTGCCTTGTCTTCCCTAAGAAAAAGTGTTAGCTGATGTTAGGTGTTCGCTAATGTGTTCAAAATACACCTTTTTCCTAGTGTAAACAAAACCTTCAAGCCAGATCCGACTTTGATTTAAATCAATGCGGGGTCTTTCCGTTTTCTTCAGTGGGAGCTGGATGAGGCCCTTGATTAAGAAGTAGATTTACTAGCTATTGTTGCCTCCTCCACCTAGACTCCCGCTTGAAAAGAGAGGGGAACAAAAGAATCAGAGCACAAAAAAGACCCGTCTCCTCTGGTATCTTCTCTGCCGCAGTGGCCACTGCGGGATGCTAGAGGAATATATCAAATCCTCCTGATGCACCTAAGCTCCAGACACCGGCTGGTGAGTGGCCTATTCCTGAACCAGGAGGAATGAGTGCCTGTGGCTATGTCTTCACTGAAAAAAAAAAAAAAGGGTGTGTGTTTCCAGTGGGATAACTGAGGTGTGTTAGCCATCCCACTGTCAAACCCTAGGAGACACACGACACTTTAGCTAGGTGAGCGCAGCCACGGGCGGGAGATGTAGGATTGATGGCGCCTAGGTACATCATGGCAAAAACCATCTGCCCCTTGACTCCACTAGGATTTTGCAGCATGATGGTTAATATGCATTAGTTATTACGCTGTCAAAACCAAGCTTTTATTCAGTGAAAGCTGAAAGGTGATGTCTGAAGCTTTGATGACATAAAGGTGGCCAACTGTGCCTCCAGATGGAAGATGTCGTGTGATCAATCTCGCCCCTCTCCTTGGTGGCTCTGAATGTATCAAGTTCCAGCAGTGCTTAGCAGTGCATGGGACAGCTATTAAATAAGCTACATTCTGATCTTACAGTTTAGATTTCTGACTGTACTATCTGATCTTACGACAGAATGAAATTTAACACCAGTACAGCTCGTAGGAAAGACTGCTAAAAGCTGTAGCAGCAGAACTGTTTGATATCGGTGTTTTGAAAAGTAGTCGGGACTCCCTTTTAAAATTATGTCTGGAAATTACTGTTCCTAATGATGACTGCCCAGTTTGTTCAAGTAGTGCTGTGAAGGGTTACAGAATTGCTATACATCATCATTGTTGGGGGGAGGGATAGCTCAGTGGTTTGAGCATTGGCCTGCTAAACCCAGGGTTGTGAGTTCAATCCTTGAGGGGGCCACTTAGGGATCTGGGGCAAAATCAGTACTTGGTCCTGCTAGTGAAGGCAGGGGGCTGGACTCGATGACCTTTCAAGGTCCCTTCCAGCTCTAGGAGATAGGATATCTCCAATAATTTAAAATTTATTTGTGCATGCATCAGAAATGTTGAAAGGGAACTCCTTTTCCCTTAAATAGTAAGTAGGTGTTTGTGGTTCTGGTAACTTTGTAATTCAAATAACTGGTTGTTGTGAACAGTTCCTCCTCTCCTAACTGGGGAAGACCCTCCTCCAGTAGAAGAAAAGAATGATGTGAAGCTGACTTGCAATGTGAATTCCAACCCTCAAGCTGAAATGGTTTGGTATAAAGACAACAGCACCCTGACCCTGAAGAAAGATCACTATCAGATATACCATACTAGTGAGGTCTTCCAGCTGACTATCAAGAAAGTAGAAAAATCTGACAATGGAACATACACTTGTGAGGCTAAATCTGTTCTCGGAGAGATGAGAAAGGAGTTCCACCTGACAGTTGAAGGTAACGCTAATGAGTATTCAGCTAAGTGCATACCAACAATAGCTTGCCTTTTGTACCTGACTGGTTAATAATTATAAGGCTACAGCAGCATTAAATCCTTTTCCTGTTCCACCACTTATTTAAAAGTATTTGGAGAGTGTAATCTGAAGGGGCTTCATCTCACCGTCTGATCTCCTGAAGCCAGATGTGTGCATTAGAACTTTCCAAGCATTCCAGTCCCTTCTTTAAGTTCATGCCCATTGGCCAACTTGAATCCCAGCAATTAGTTGCCGTGAGCAAAATGTTATCCTTTATACAGGCCCCAGTACAGCAGTGCAGTCCATACTGGCAAATCCTGGGGCCAGTGGAGAGCCCCATTTAAGTCGGCGAGGCTCTGTACAGTCACAGGAGCGTGGAGCCATTTGCAGCATCAGGGCACTAGATTATAAGCACTTTGGGGCAGACACTGTCTCTTCTCTCGTGTTTGCCCAGTGCCCAGCACAATTAGCCTGATCCCGATGACGAGTGGAGAACTCTGGCACGACTGTAATGCAAACAATATATAATAACTTGTTCTTTTCCCTCGATGGAATTCAGGAGAAATTAGAGCAGGGGTGGTTGTAAACGAGACATTTTATTTGAAGTAAGTAGGGCAATGACACGTGTATGCTTTGAATAGCAGGTTGGGGCCAGGGCTAGGTTGAGCAACAGCTAGAAATAGGCTGACACGAAGCTCACTTGCAAATTGGCCGAAAAACTGAATGAAGTATAATAATTATAATTTGTGCATAGACAGCATGATGCAATCGAGGATCTCAGGCGGCTTGATAAATGTTAATTAAGCCACACAGCTCACCTTTGAAGGAGGATATTCTTATTCCCATTTTACAGATGGGGAAAAATGAGGTAGAACCGGGCGCAGGATCTTGCCCAAAATCACAGCACAAGGCAGCGGCAAAGACAAAACCAGAATTGAGAACTAAATCCAGGAGTACTAACTCTGGCTTCTGCTCGGACTACTGGCCTCTCCCAAGAAGCCTAGTTTTTTGTTTGTTTGTTTTAAAGATGTAAAACAATATGAAGATCCTCTGCTTAATAGCTGTTGAGATGTTTGTTTCAAAAGCAAGAGGCTATGCCCTGTTTAGAAAGAAATCAGTAACTTTCTCCGGTCCCTTAATTGGATTGTTGACACAAAAATAAGAGGATACATTTGAATTGTATCAATTTACAGAATACAAAGGTGCCACAGTAGGGATCTGGTGCATATGTTTTCATAATAATCTACAGCTATCTTAGGGCTGCAGTTTCCCACCCCTCATTCTAATAAATCAATGGTTTGCTGGCTGCAGGGCTGCCCACAAGCCGTTCTCTCCTATCGCTAGAACCATCATAAAACCAGCTATACTGGTGGTGTCAGGAAACACTACTGCACAGTTGTTTATCCTTACTCTGTGTCCATGGCCTGATGGTCTATCCCAGGGGTGGCCAACCTGGGGCTCCGGAGTCACATGCGGCTCTTCAGAAGTTAATATGCGGCTCCTTGTACAGGCACCGACTCCGGGGCTGGAGCTACAGGCGTAGGGTGACCAGATGTCCCGATTTTATAGGGACAGTCCCGATTTTTGGATCTTTTCCTTATATAGGCTCCTATTACCCCCCACCCCCGTCCCGATTTTTCACACTTGCTGTCTGGTCACCCTACAGGCGCCAACTTTCCAATGTGCCGGGGGGTGCTCACTGCTCAACCCCTGGCTCTGCCACAAGCCCTGCCCCCACTTCACCACTTCCCACCCCCTCCCCTGAGCCTGCCGTGCCTTCACTCCTCCCCTTGCCCCTCTGAGCCTCCTGCCAACCCCGAAACAGCTGATTGGGAGGTGTGGGGACAGGCGGGAGGCATTGATTGGTGGGGCTGCCGGTGGGTGGGAGGTGCTGGGAGCCAGGGGAGAAGCTGATGGGGGGCTGCTGACATATTACTGTGGCTCTTTGGCAATATACATTGGTAAATTCTGGCTCCTTCTCAGGCTCAGGTTGACCACCCCTGACCTAGCTGAAGAACCTGCTGGAGTGGCCACCAATTAATATTTCCAATTAGTCAGTAAAAATATCTGGCTGTTTGTTGTTTGCTTCTTTCTTTTTGAATGTTAGAACCACATGAATATCTCATGCATTACAACAGTTTTTAACCTCAGGTTTTAGCATAGTTCAGGTCACTGTGTAGACAGGGACAGGATGAAACCACTTGCTCTTTTTTGGACATCTCTAAAATGACTTGCTTTATAGAAGTGTATCAATCTGTTCAGTATCCAAATGGGTGTTTTTTCCCCTTCCAACAGATAGAAAACCGGTTTTTCCCTTGGAGGCTATTATTGCTGCCATCGTGGTGGTTTTACTCACTGTAATTTTTGGAATTGTGGCTCGAAGAGAAAAAATATTTAAGGTAACAAAAACATCAATGAATCAGAAAACATCATAATGAGCTTGGCACAGCTACTGTTAAGAAAAAGCTCTGTTTAATCTCAGCCTTATTTTTTGAGTGAGGGGAGGAGCGGCTTAACACAATACTTCTGTTGCTTCTTGGACTCAGAAATTAATCCGGAAAGGTTTCATATACAGTTCATATAATGGGGGTTTGTACACTCAGACACATGATTCTCTTTAATGTGGGGGAGTGCATAGGTGTGTGTTGTTGTGAGAGAAGCTATTGAAATTTGCCCTATACAGAAATGACAAACTCTGAATGGTCACCCTACTTCCTGTGTATCATGGATAGCCTACATGAACTACAGCCTAGGCTTGTGCTGTGGTCCTGTTAAAGCTTGCACGCTATGGCAAGGCCAGGCTGGCTTACTAGACGGGAGACTCTGAAGTAAAACAGTCTGTTGGATATTCAGGAGATGGCACTCTTCTCTCAGGCCAGATTACCCCTTACATGCCCCTAGGCACAGCACCTTCAGCGCTCCCCCTGCTTACAGCTGACCTCGTGTTTTCTGTACAAAATGAAACTTTTAACCCACTTTTAACTTTTAGGCGCCCCTAGAACATCAGCGCCCC